TACATTAATACAACTAAGTATTGTTGAATTGTGAAATAGGAAAGGTTTTCAAGCTGAAACTGGACTACTGTGCTTAAAGTACTGCTGAGATCAATAGCTGTTCACTACGTGTTGCTGAAAAGTTTTGTTCTGTTCTCCGTCCAAGGAATCTCTTAAAAGGTTCCTTGGACAGAGAACAGAACAAACGAGTCAAAGAGGGAGAAACATTAAGTACTTGAATATAAGGAGACAAAAGTTAAAGTCGTTTACTCATTTTAAACTGACTGCCTTTGAGAAAGATTATCTTACAAGGATGTGTGATGGGTAAACCAGGCAAAGAAGGAGAAGCTTCTTCGGCAACTTTCACAAATTTCTAAAGAAAGGAAAGAGTATAAAAGGAAAAATTATTGAAGGACCAAACGCAGCAAGACATTCTATTAGTTTTTCCCCTTTCCACACGAAATAGTGGACTGTTCACCACTTATACGTATTCCATTGGTCTGATATATCTGAGTGTATTACAGTAGGTATAGGCCACTATCTATTCAATTACCAGAAGGGCTTTTGTTCTCCCACCCCCTCTTTTATCCTCTTATCCCCCCTCCTCGCAGGACTAACAACGAAGCGCTTTTAGCTTCCTAAAATTGCACTTTTTAGGGGAGAAGGGGGGTGGAAATCCTACCAGGACGAGACTAGATAAGGTCAGACTCGGTGTTTAATCTCTTTTTCAGACCTCTTTTGCTACATCTACTTATATACAAGTCCTTTAGGGCTGGCTTCTTGTTCATTTATCGAAGATTAGAACGATTTCCTTGTCACCGAACCAAGATGTACCCCATGGCCTTGATGTGTTTGTCTCCATTATCTGAATGGAGCTTTGCTTCGTTCCCACACGTGTTGGAGTCGTCTTCGTACCCACCTGTGCCAAAGCCAATTCTGGAATCACAAGATCTGCAATTGTTATCGTCGTTAGCAATGATACCGATTCTAGCTTTGGCATTTTCTTCCTTCCTCGAAGTGGGATTGAACCCTTCCTTGTCACAATTTGATTGCAAGGATGCCTCGGAGCCAATCAGCAACTTCCACGTGTGACGACCCAGTGACGTGTCATGATATTGTCCGTCAGCGATCAGTGAGTACAAAGAGCTGGCTTGCTTTTTGACGAGAATGAACCTGGACAGATTACCAATCTTCATCCCTAGACAGATCTCGGAAAAGGATGTGTTCCAATAGGTCGGTAGCTTGGTCTCTTGAAAGTCAAGCCCAGTCTC